GTTTGTCTTAACATTTCTGATTGATTCTCCTTCGTCGTTTGCTTGTCTTAACATTTCTGATTGATTCTCCTTCGTCGTTCTTGTCTTAGCATTTCTGATTGATTCTCCTTCGTCGTTTGCTTGTCTTAGCATTTCTGATTGATTCTCCTTCGTCGTTTGTTTGTCTTAACATTTCTGATTGATTCTCCTTCATCATTTGTTTGTCTTAACATTTCTGATTGATTCTCCTTCATCATTTGTTTGTCTCAACAGAGAGATGATATAAGTTTTACTGCCTGTATCTGGATCTGTGTATGTGCACTAATGCCACTGTATTACAATGTATATCTTTGTCCTACTTTCTAGTCCTTTGAAATGCATCAGAATACATCATTTAGCTTCAGAATCCCATAGATAAACTATGTTGTACATTTATGCCTTTTGCAAAAGATTATATGTACACACAAATTAACTTGGCATCTGTGTGGTGTGAGATTGTAGGTTTTTTATAGATTTTAGTGGACCTTATAGTTTATATAATTCCTAAGATAGCAGCATGATCAGTTATTTAGTAATCAGTGTGATACTGCACCACAAAAAGCTTGAAAAAAATGTTATTACGTTCTTATTTATTGAGTCATCACAACCAAAAGTTAATAGAAAGGAGGAATTTGGTGATCTTTTTACATGAAATTAAGATTATTGATAAAACATTATAGTAAAGATTTAATGTGGTGAGATGTTCAATGATCTTGCAAACAGCATAACGTAAATGTTCAAGACTTCTTTGAGGTTTGGCTTTATAACCATCCACAAATGAGTATTTCCATGAATTATATTTATGATTTTAGAAACAAATGAATTAAGCAAAGCATCTACTAGCTGGGTTCGGTTGATGATGTTTTGATATGATTCTACTTGTGCTTAATTTTTAAGTACCCAGAATTACTTATGGTGGGTTAATTAGTCAGTATAATACTTTTGAAACAGAATGCTACCCATACCTCATTTATTCCAAATAATAGATAAACATAACTTTACTGTATTTAACCTTAAAGAAATTATTAGTCCTTGGTACCTACAACACATTATTTGTATATTTGGGGTTCTAATTATAATCTTGTTTACAAAAGTTTTAATAAAGTTTTCCTGATGTTATTTAAACCTTGCCATTTTTAATATATACAAAAAACAATATAAATATTCTTAACAATTACCAGCCAAAGATTGTTTCCTTATTATCGTTAGTTCAGTTATACAACAAAGAAATGAGGTCACACCTGAAGCTTCTGATGAAGAAACAGACAATGATTCTAGCTCCGCTCCACCCCCAGTAAAGAAAAAAAATATGATCACCAATAAACGATCTGCACTTGGTCCAAAACAACTCACTTTTGTACCTCCAAATGTCACTAGTGATACAGCTTCCTCTTGTAAAGGTAATTTTGCACGGTTTATTCTTCAATTTTGGTAAAACTCTGTTTAAGAAAATTCACGTTTTTTTTTAATTTGATGAAAACCACAACTAGAAAAATTTATTTTTAAACTGCAGCTAGCAGATGTTACTACAAATGCATTATAGAGTACTAATCTTCTCAGTTCCAACATTTTCTGTCATCAAACATCCTTTGCTGATATAAACAAAGTTTGGGCTGTTATACAGTATGTGTATTCTTACAAAGCTACATTTTTAGTTATAAAAATGTTTTGATAGATAATTAGTTAAAACTTTACTCCAAAGATAAGGAAAATCTTTATTATGTTTGTACATTTCTTATTGGTTTAATGTATAAATATCATTTCACTGAAAGGAGGCCAAAGGCTGTCTGGAGGGGTCACCTGTTTTAACCACTTGTATTATCTGTCAATCAGTCAGTACACACAAAATGACGTCACAAAAGGGATCTGAACATTGCAATTTGTTTGTTGTGACATCAGTAAAAGTCGCTCATGCCATGAATCATGTGAAGGATGATGCATTGTGTAGCCTACAATACAGCATGACTTAAGAACTACAAAAGCAAGAAATAAAAATATTTGTTACTCTTAATTTGGGTTTTATTTACTATTGAAACAGAACACTTCCGGGGACCCTGTGGAATTACATCTAGTAATAGACTATTTGTTTTCCTTACAAAACACCCATATTGTGTGTGGATACATATATAGTTAAGCAAGTATTGGAAGGTATTTTTCATTTCTCTCCAACAAAGAAGTATGTCTAGGCTTTAGGTGTATTAAGACCTAAGAAACTTTTTTAGCAGATTTATTTATTTTTGTCACTTTTTGTTGATTTAATATTATCTCAATGGTAAAATATTTTTTATGTATACTTACATACAAAACTTTTAAGCCTAAGACTGTAACTAAAACAACTACCCAATTAAAAAAAAAGTTTTTAACAATATTATCAAGCATCCGAAAAAATGTAATTAGTAGTAAGTTTAAAATGTATGTTATTATTGAACATTCAGCATTTCTGAAACAATTTGTATAGACTTATAGCATTGCTGGCACTGGGATAGTAATCTTAAAAACTATAGTTAGGTTTTTGTCTAGTTAAATGTTTTGTTTTTCTACTTCTATTGAATAAATCATGTAGTAAATACATATAATATTTTTAAAGCTTATATATATATATATATATACATACATACATACACACACACACGTGTATATATATACATGTGTGTGCACGTAACAAGTTTATGAATTGCCATGTGAAACTGTATTATCCAAGCAATGCTTAGAGCAGCCACATTTTGTCAGTCATTACCATGGTTAATAGCCTGTACAATAACCTAGGTCTAATCACTAATTAGTTACAATTTTATTATTAGTAATAACTAATTAGTAATTAGACTTAGGAGATGACTCTTTTTGGCTACTAACTGTAACAGTGATTGAAATCTAATTGTCACAATCTTACTGTAAATATCTTTTGTCAGATTCAAGAAAACCATGAGCTATATCATTATAAAATATGTACAGTACAAAGCAAAACATAACAGGTTTAATAAAAAGCAAAATATAAATATGAAGAATATATTACTTTTAAAACATTGTAAGTCCATATTGCAAAAGCTTGATTTTCTGTCCAATTAAATCTTAATTTGGCATAAATCTATGTTTTAGATATCAAATTGTCTGCAATTAAATAGTCATATTACTGTCATTGATTATTGTAACCTAGTTGGTTTATTAGCGTAGATATGTGAGTTATTGTTTCATGTTTTGTAATTAATGTAGTATATATATATTTATTTATATTATTGGAAAGACATACCTGAAAAGAAACAAAACAGTGAACAAGATCCTATAGTAAAAAAACTGTCATCCAAGGAAAGCTTTATTGCTTTACAAAATAAACGAATACAGGATGCTGATGGAACATGGGTTCAGTGTACAAACTCAATGTGTTCCAAATGGAGATATCTACCAGAAGTGAAGGAACCTTACCTGGTGCCACATGACTGGGTATGTTCCATGAATACAGGTGAGAGAACTTTGAGGTATGTTATAGAAGTTAAAATTATGTTTATGATCAAATAGACCTAATAAAATTAGTATATAAATTTCTTTTAAATTATTCCTTTTTTGGTGCATACAGTAATGCAAAGGTTATTACTTGATATGCCTAACATTGAAAAAGATAGGTTTTCAAATAAGAACCTGTGACTTGAAATGATGTATTTGCTCTCGATTTGTCCATTAATCAGTTTCTGAATCTGTTGCACAAACATAATAGTACACAAAAAAAATATGAGATTGACTTAGACAGCTACGAAGTATAATTCTAAAAGAAGTAAAAAGTAAAGCTTTTGAAGCATAACACCTCAGTATTCATTGTGATGTTGAAACTGCTGACTGTTTAATTCATCTTCATGAACTAAAATAAATATTCAATTGTCTGTATGAATGGAAAATGTTCCTTTTTTTTTGGTTTCTCATAACACACACACACAGTTAATTTTTTGAAAGAAATCTTGAACATAAGGTGGTTCTGATAAATATTTTTTTTAATAATAAGCTTGCCTTAAATATACATCAAAGCATGAGCTCATCATTCACGTGTAGTGTTGATACAGATATGACAACCTGCCAGTAATTCTTCAAGAAATGTGATCTCATACTGAGATAGATGAAGAAAATTTATATTTCGAAGAAATCTTTTTATTGAACTTAGGTTTTTAGTGTAACACGTTTCTTAAACTTTTGTTGTTATGATATTTTGTAAAACATTTAAGTATTATGAAATAATATGAATTGTAATTATGTTCATTTCAGATACTAAGAAAAACAGTTGTTCTATACCAGAAGTGGACTACTCCAACCTGGACTTTGTCTTCACAAAGTTTACTGTAGGATCAATTGTATGGGCTAGAGTTGATGGTTATCCTTGGTAAATTTCAAGACATCTGTCTATTTTATATATATAGCACAAAAATAGTTGTCTTTTCTCACTGAGAAAGAGAATATTTTAAGATTTCTTATATGCAATAGACAAGTAAAAAAATACCCAAACAAATAATTAGCTTTGCACCAATGTAGCTGACCTGATAACAAATGATATAGTTTAAATGTGAGAATATTTCAAAAACTGTTAATAGAACATTATCCCTAAAATGTAACACTTTGATTAATGATAATTAGTGTGGTTATAGTAATGTGTAGTAATATTAAATTGCATTATTGAGTCATTCAAGTATACTTTGAAAGACACAATATATTTAGTTATTGCTAAGATTACCAGATTTTCAATTCATAAAACCAGGACAGACTAATATTTTTGGATCTTAAAACTGGAACTCCACCCCTCCTTTTTAAATGAAAATTATAAACAATCTCTTATGCAAGTAAAGATGTTATCGAGTAAAAAGGATATATTTACATTTACTTCTCTAATGAGTGAATATTTTTTAAGTAACTTTTTGTTGTAAAGCTCTTAGCAACTGTCATCAATGCTTACCCCTCGAGATACTTTCAACTAATAGCTTAATCAATTGGGATTTGTGAACATCACCTGCCATTTTTTATTCAGCTGTTTCTCTTTGTTTTGTTGATGTCTGCAATAGTTACATCATGTCTGCTGTAGCCTGCCTTATAGCCAATTTCAGAGTCTGTGCTGAGTCATTCCTAGCTGTGTGATAATTTCCATACTCATTTTCAAAAAATGGTATCTGTTGATTTATAGTTGTCAAAGGTTCAAAGTGCTTAATACAAGTATAAAAAAATTACTGACACAAATTAAAATGGGACATTTAAGTGGCCCAAAAGGATCTATTGGAACAACATACCAAAAGTCAGGACTATCTCCCAGCCAAATCAGGATGTCTGGTTATTTTAGTTATTGTTTGCAAATGTTTTTAAATTGATATACATTAGTCATCTGAAAATTAGAAATATAAAAACCTATAATTTAGCATCTTTTATTTATAATTATCATTCATTAGAAGTAGGATAATAAAGCTTCAGTCAATTTCAATATACACAGTACTAAGGCCCATAACTTTGTATTATAAAAACCAAATAAATTAACTTGTATTTTCTATGTAAAGTAATTATTTTCTTTTTTTAGATATACATAAAGTTTTCATACAAGTGTTTGTATCCCATGGGTATATCTTTCTAGTATTGGTACTGAATGTTGATTTGCACTAGTGTGAGTGTTTTTCAGCTTTTCATATTCATTTGTCCTTAATTTCCACCTAAGATTTTGATTTTATTATGACCTGATGCCTCGAATCTGTAAAAATAATATTGATTCTGCAAGTCTAGTAACCATGTAGCAAAACTGTTTATCAAACATGTAGTTAGTCCCTCCAAATGAAATTGGATCATACCATCTGTATGAATTATTTTGTTTTAGTGTTAACTGTACACATTGAATTTTTGTATGTGCAATTGCAGGTGGCCAGCCATGGTTGAAGATGACCCTGATGTAGAATCTTTCTTCTGGACAAATGGTTTTTCAGATGTGCCAGTAAGTGTTTCAACATGTAAAGAATAATTTAATGATATGTATAAATAGTTCAGACAGAAAAGAATTGGAAAAAAAGCTAATGTAGGTCTGGTGTATTGTGCTTCCCTTGTTCACTTGGTACTATTTGACATTTGTGGTTATGATATATTATGTCTGTTATAAATGAATGACCAGTAATTACATTCAACAAAGGAAGATTTAAAAAACAGACCAAAATGTTCATTTTAAAATATAGAGAAAAAAAAAGAGAGAGCAAAAATAACTATGTAAAAAATGTAAGGACATAATTTTAAAAATCCAACAAATAGAAAATTAGTTCTTTTTGCATTTTATTGTCATATTATTAATGAATTTCAACATTCAGAACATAACTAAGAAAATTTTGCTTCAGGATATGCTTTTTATGAAAGTAACACACTTTAAGTGTGAATTATCTTGGCACCACAGCAAATATCGCCAGAGGTAAATACAGAAAATACCTACAGTTGTATATTGAGTTATCAAATACTTGAATTATATATATATATATACACACACACATATATATGTATATCAATAAAGACTATGAATAGCATTAATGACTTGTCCTTAAAATTTTACAGAAGTGATATAAATACTTGTATAGCTTTATACATATTAAAACAGTGTGCTAAAGACTACCCACATTTTTATTTAAAAGAAAAAGCTTTAAGCCACCCAAATGATTCTTCTTGGATGAATCAGAAAGGTTCAGGGATTAGTTCTCTCACTACAGGCTTGATACCCAGGGAATAACCTCATAACCATTTTGTGCTTGTTATAGTTTTCAAATTTTGCACACTGATGATGCAAAATAAAATAATTTTTTGGGTTTTATATATGCATTTTGATATAACCAAATATTATAAATTACGCTTATCATTATTGCAGAATTCCACTGTAATTTATCAGGCTAACTAACTAAACTGTATTTGAGTAAAAAAAAATATTGTTTTTCGGACAACATTTTCACTTACCATTTCCTACGGTGATTTAAGACAGAAATACTCTTGGGAATTTCCCACCTTCTAGAGACTCAGAAAACCACCAGGTGAACATTCTGAGCTTTCAATTGTTATTCACACATGATAGACAGAAGTATGCATCTGTAAGCATTTCCAAAAATGAAAAGAGTTGGTTGGGGCCACTGTGTTTGATTCACTAAATGTAGCGATATCTCAGTAAATATAAAAGATAGGAGGCTCTTATGTTATATTCTAGCTTGTCAATATTAGTAATTTGAGTTTCTAATTCATAAGAACCTATAGACTTTGTATTTGGACATCACAAACATCTAATTTGAACCAAAGCTGCATTCAACATACCACTTGACACACAAAAATTGATATTTAAAAATTTTGTTTTAATATTTAGTTTTGAATTAAGAAATTAATTAATGTATAACACTGAAATTTGAATTACAATCTACAATGTGAAACCAAACTTATTGGCATACATTCGTAAAATATTAAACCAATAAAATTTTGGAATGATTGCAAGTCTACAAGACCCTTAGTGAGATGGTTAAGCGTATGTCTTTTCTGACTGAACGAAAATGTTCTACATATAGTTGTATTTGATGGAATTGACTTTGTAATTCTATAAAAAGGTAAATTTTTTAAATTACTAATATTAACACGTACGTTTGATTAAAGTGTGTAAAATGACAAATTATTTAGAATTTGCACGAAGCATGCTTGACTTTTTAACATGTTGTTAATATATGTTTGATAAATCATAATTATTACCCTAAGTGTGCACCAAATGTGTTGTGTATTATATAAAACAGAATTTTTTCATTTGTAAAACTAATCATCATGGTGATCTGTTATAAAATGTAAATTATCTGCTAGTTGACGGTATAAGATATTGTATTAATTATAACCACATGCAACTTTATAGTTTCTAACTACTATACGTCATTTGTTCCTCTTCTCACACTTGTATATCCAACCCACAGACAGCTTACCATGTAGTTTTTCTTGATGAACTTATCACTCGGGCTTGGGTTGGGATACACTCTATTCGTCCGTTTACCACTGACCAGGAAATTCAAGAAGTACACAGGGTATGTAAGTTCTCACATTTTTATACTTTCTGAGAATAATTTTCGCTTTTCCTTCTTCTTGTGGACAAAACTTAAAATGTTTTAGGAACTGAGATATACTGAGATGTTAATTTAGATTTATTTCCAATATTTAAATACCTTTGAAGTATTTGTAGATTTTATATGTGGAAGTATATTCTAAGATGATAAAAATAATACTGATACTACTATTAGGCTAGTAACTATACAGCAAAATTGATTGACCAAGCATGTAATTATTCTCTTTAAAAGAATTAGGATAATTGTATTAACTGTTTTGATCTTGACATTATTTTAACTTAATTTATAAATAACAATCCTTTCCATGTTTTCAGTAATTCGTGTTTATCATAAAACGAAAAATGCAAAGGAAAAACATCAAAATCAAGTTAGATCTGCATGTTGAAATATAGATTTTGATGTCATTCTTGTTGGAGGCTGTACACAAGTAAAGCAAATTAATAATAACATAAAACCTTATATTGTTTACTGAGCAAAAAATTGTATAACTTAGTAGTGGTAAAAATAGTATTATTGTGGTAAAAACTGCAATCAATAATCCTAAATACAGTTTGGTAAAAAAGGAATAACATTAATAATTAAGGTTGTTATTTCACGTGTATTGTTTCTGGTATTTGTTTCATTCCAATACTGTTTAAAATAACATGTTCGGTGTAATTTTCAATCCCAGTTCAACAAGGGTATTTCTATTAACATGGTAAAAATTATCTGTTCAAATTGTTTAATATAATGTGTGATTGTACCTGAATGTGTAACTTTAAGAAATATTTGAACTGTTCTAAATTCAGTTGACATGGCATAATAATCAACATTAGTTTCATTTTAAACCATACATGAATAATCACTGAACTTTCTACTAATTTATGTCTTTCTTTCTATCTGTTTGAAAACCTTCTTTCTTTTAAGAGTAACTGACACGTGTTTACTAAAAACAATATATAACAATAATATTAGATTAATTTATCAGATCTTTTTTTAATAGGATGTGCCAGCACAATATTGTGTCCATTTTTGATTTTATTGTTGAAAATAAGTAACTGTTCAGTAATAACTAATTAAAATTAAGTGCTGTCTCTGAAAATGTTAAGAGAACAGTCATAAGAACATATCTGAAACCACTAACCTGAAAAGAAATAATAACCGGTACCAATTTATTTGCTTAACTATTACAGGAACACTTTTGTACTGAAACTTACTTTTTTTCTTAGAAATACCGCAAGAGAAAATACGAAAACCAGATTCGAGAAGCAAAAACACGAGCCATCAAAGCTTTGCAAATGACTATTGAAGCGAGTATTGTTTGAAAGCTTAACTCGTATTCTTTATCTTAGCAAAAATTTAATGTAGTTTGTGGAATGGTGCAAATACTGTTTAAAGGCAAGGTGAAAATCTATACTGTAGTATATTTGAACTAGGTAACACAAATACCAAAAGAGTAATTACATGTAGTTGTATTGACATCTGATATACAATGACCCGAAAACTATCATGTTATTCAAGTACTACTGACATGGATCCATAATATATCTTCATGCATATATAAAATTTACTTGTATAAAAACTTCAAATACTGTAGTTCATATATTATACCACTGACATTTTGTTGTGCTAAATGAAACCCTTGTAGCAGAAGTAATTGGTTATATTTTTTCCAAATAAGCCAAAGAACTTGAAAATGAAATAAGTATTAAATGTATTTTTGTTCTGTTTTTTTTTTATATAATTTTCTGTTGTTTTGTACACTTATTTTCAAGACATATTAAAGCCATGTATAGTCAACTTTAAGGTTCAATCTGATTTAAATGTTTTTACTTACTATCTACTTGTGTAATTAAAGATGTGCTTTAAAACCTTTCCAGGAAAGACTGAAAACTTTCAGTTTTGCATACAGATACAAAGGACCTTGGTCAAAATCCAAAACTGAAGACACACATTACCTAGGTATTCTTTTTACTTTATAACTTAATAATACAGTTACTTTTAGAAATGTCCTTTTGTTATTAATGATGCTTTGTATTTAAATACAATGAGAATAAGATACTTCATCCTAAAGGTAATGAATGTAGATGATTAAGAACAAAGTATGGTTGATAATGATACTTTTACTGTAATGTTTTAAATAGTTGAAAATACATTACTGAAGAATAAAACAAAACTTTCTTTTAAGTACTAATTGCTCTTTTTTTTTCATATAAAATTTGCGTTTAAAAGGGCACTGAAAATTCATTGATAATTAAATATTTCTACCTTTTTAAATTACAGTACGAAGTACAACTACACCAGCATTGGTTATGCTAGACAATAAAATCAAATAAATATGTACCTCTCTACTTTTAAGTCATGATTGATGGATATAATCTAATGGTTGCAATTTTACAAAACAAAGAAACGTAACATGTACATACTTTATGATACACTAACCTTTTTTGTTTCTCGGAGACATTTCAAATATGCATTTTAGTAATCACATGCATTAATAAAAATAAGATTTTTCTTGTTGATTTCATACATTTAGATAAAAAGAAAGACAGGACAAGTAAGGTAAAAGAACATGAACTGGACTTATCAAAAAGTGAGTTATTGGATACTCCAATGAATGATGCTGAAGCTGCAAGTTTGTTTGAAGAATTAGATGAAGTTGTTTCAATAGATTCTTTGGATATTTGTAAGTTTAGTTTTGATTTAGTATTTAAAAGGATTTGTTTATCCTGCTGTTGTCGCCATATTGGTTCTTTCATTTGATATAGTCTTGAACTGAACATTGTAACAATGATACGTTTGGAGAATATTTGAAAAGAAGAAAAATTTCTGGTCTATTATGAATAATAGCATTAACAAAAACAAGTTATATAAAGTACGTATCAGTTTTCCATGTTATAGAATTGTAGGTGTGTATCTTCAGAGTATCAATATTTATTTAAATTCTGGTTACTTGAAAACAGTATAGAATACAAAAAGTATGGATACTAAAAAATACACTGACACATCTAAGTGAAAGTTTTGTAGTTTATTTTGTGTAATGTTTTGGACAGATGCTGTGTTACTGTCTTTATTATATTTTATTCAAGTTTTTTTCCATGCCTTGCAGAACACCACTCATTTGATACAAAAAAAATTATCATATGTGTTACTGTGTTTGAATGAAATACTTATTGATATATGTATCTCTCAAAATTTTATGACTGATAAACTAAATCATTCAAGAAAGACCATCTTTCTATTATGCAAGTTCTACTGATATACCTTTTATATCTCTTCAAACAGTTGATACCATAGAGAGTGATTCTGAACAAAAAGAAAATTACGTTCCAACTAAAAACAAGAATGAATTTGATACAACTGAGGTTGAGGAAATAGACCTTACAGAAACCAAGTTTCATAAAGAATTTGGAGGTGGAGATGCAGCTGTATCACTAAATGCAATAGCAAAAAGTTCCAACAATTTAAAGAAAACAAAACAGGGGTCTGTGACCCCTCATAAAAGAGATAGTAACATCAACATAAAAAAAACAATAAAAAATAATGACACTGAAAAGAAATTTTCAAGAGAAAGGAAGAAAAAACTGGAAAACAAAGAGAACTTACAAGAGAGTAAAATGTCCAATAATTCCAACCATTTAACTTTGACGAAAAGACATCAAAAGATGGACAGTGTTGAAGATGACAGTAAAAATGTTGGAAAGAACAAACATGTCTTCAAACCACCCACACGATCTGCTCAAAGTACAGATCATGTTGTTGTGCAGAAGAAAAAATCAGATAAGAAGAAAGAAGGTAATAACACTCCTAAGAAAGATTTTCAGTGCAATAATACATTAAAAGAAAATATGAAACCAAGAAAAGAGCTGTTTGGATCACCAACTGGAAGCAGAACAAGTAGTTTTGGTGTAACTGTTGATTCCGAAACTTCTGAGCTTAAAAATACAGACAGTCAGGATTCAAGTCCATTTGAATTGGAAGAAGAATGAATTGTGGATATGGAAAACAAAATAATGTAAGCTATACTTCATGTTATTGTGTAGATGGGATCTTATTTTGCAATTACTTTTAATTATCTGAATATATTTTATTGTTTTGTTTAAGGTATTTAAAAGTAATATTCATATTTATTGTTTTATTTTACAGAGATTTAACATACACATATTAAATCCCTCAACAATTTTATTTACTATTTATAGTTAGTATTATATACAAATATATGTTGAATTTATCACAGACATTATTGTATTACAGTATTATTCAATGTTTACATAAACGTATACATAAAATAGTTGAATCGTACTAAATGTGTGAAAGTGCCTGCTTTACTACTATTTAGTCACAAGTTTCTTGACCAAGCAAGACTTGCTTAAACAGTAAACATAGTTATATTTATCTGTTTAGGATTTTTCTTGTTAACTGGATATAATATAGTTGAACTTTATATCAGAAATGTAGTTACACTGCATCATGAGAAGTGAAATGGATTAGACTTTTTTATTTACAAGGAAAAATGACTTAGCAGGTTCGTGTACAATTACTTGGTCAATTTTAATTACACTGTCAAGTAGATGAAAAAAAATTGAAAGCCATAAATTATAACAATTTTTAGCTTTTTTTTGTTTTATGATGTTAACAAAATATGATTTATAAAATTGTTATAACTGTACTATATAGTAGACTTTATATTTTGCTAAAATTTCATTATGTTACAAACTATCAACACAGTTAGTCAACTTGAAGGCTTCACTCCTAATAAGCACCACTGGTATTTACATAACATTCACACACACACACATAATATGCTTATTTGACTGTAATATGTTACACTTTCAGTTTTAGTTAATGAGGACACATGTTCTAACTTTTTATAAGCTGTGATACATATTCAAAAAACATTGGAAATTATGTGAATATTTTACTATTGGAAAAAAACATAGGAAAGATACAGAAGTTCTCTAAATTATAGCACATTTTCTGTTTACATTTAGTTAAGATTGAAACTTCTAAATATTCTAGGTGCAAGGTTTTTTTCCAATTAAAAATTTCAGCTTTTAATAGCACCTAAACATTTATGATAAAAAAAATTGGGCACCACATGCCAGTGAACCTTATAAATTTCCAAGTAGCTGTTAAAGTGCTACTAATCAGCACAATCATTAAATTACTCAGGTGTTTAAGACCATTAATAATTTCACTTCTGATATACTAAAAAAAGACAGCTAAATTTCACACAATATATAAATTGTATATTTTTCACAAAGATGGTCAGATACGGTATCATATCAGGCATGGTTATTTACAGATATATCTGTAGTTGTGAAACTCTTTTCATATTTACTATGGCTTGATTGTTTTTTCTGCAAAGCTACACAACAGGCTATATGTGCTCATTCCATCACGGGGAATCAAACTCTTAATTTTAGTGCAGTAAATCCATAAAGTTCAGCTGGCCCACTGGAGATATTTATTATAGAAAAAGAACAGCTCGTCGTCCTATTATCATCTTTGCTAGTTTTGGTGCACTAACATGAAAAACTAATTTTTCTAATTATGAACTGTAATTTTGCAGAAGTTCCCTATATTAACCTCCAATTAATACATCTCTGTAAATTTTATATGTCTTTAGATTATTCACTTTACAGAGGTTATCTGAAATAAGTGTCAGATACACAATATGTGGAAAATACTTTTGTATTTTGTCACTTCATAAATTTATAAATTGGATTAATTTTCAAAAAAAAAAAATGTACTTACAATTTCTGGAATAACAGGTTTTGCCAATATCTTAATATCTTCCTTTTGCTCAGCCAACCCCAAAATGCTTCTGAATCTGAAGAAATTCTTCAATCTTGCTATTGGCTTGAAATCATTTCAAACCATCAGTTGAGGATAAATATATTTAAGTATAATTAATTTTCATATTTCATCCATAATATTCCATTTTTGGAAAGACCAAAGTAATAATTTTCATTGACACACCAAATGGTTGAAGCATTGGAGATGGTTGCATGTTTAACCTGATATTTAATATAGTTTAGAGGGTATCTAATCTGCTGTAACACAATCATGAATTTTAATTATTCACAAAAAAAGTTATAGCCTGATAATTATGATGAGAATGGAAAGCTTCTTAATACTAGTATATTTTAAGTTATAGCCTGATAATTATGATTAGAAAGGAAAGCTCC